CGCTAAGCAATTCCCACAGCGCGGGGCGACAGCGGGCCTTGCCCCTGTGTTTATCCATGAGGATTTCGACAGTTTGGACAGCTTAATGGAACCGGCGCTTCCTGAGCCACAGAAACGCATCTGCCCTCAGCGCGCCGGGGACCCAAACCCGACATGATAGCGCAGCTTCCACAACTAGCGCACGTAACCATCACCCCTCTGGGAACCCGACCCCGACAAAGCCAAAGCCGCCATGTGAAAGCAGCTGCAGCCTTCTTTCCTGTGCATGTTTCACACAGTTCTTTCCTAAGGAAGACTCCAAAACGCTGCCGACTTTACTTTTTCTTTTCCCCCTTCCTCATCAGTACCTTGCCGGCTGAATCGGGAGAGGCACGACGCTGCAGCAGGAGTTTTGCCACTTCTAGGCTCCCATATTTGGCCGCCACATGCAAAGGTGTGAATCCCTTCTGAAAAATTCCAGGAGATAAAAAGCAGATGTGTGCGTTAAAGGTCACGCTGATGTCTCTCTTCTAAGAGCTATGTATTAAGCGCTTATTCTTCAACCTATATTCTATTTTGGGTACATGTGGCACTTTGGGACATGGTTTAGTGGGCATGGTGGTGTTGGGTTGATGGTTGGACTGATGATCTTAGAGGTCCTTTCCAGCCTTAACGATTCCTAGTTTTTACTTTCATTAAAGAATAATCCAGCCACCAAGCCAGGAAACGTGAAATTATTCCTCTCCCCTTAATTGGTTTAGTGGTGGACTTGGTAGTGTTAGGTTAATGGTCGGACTGGATGATCTTAAAGGTCTTTTCCAACCTAAAGGATTCTATGGTTCTATGATTCTAGCTAGCAGAATCAATAGCCGTACCTAGAAAGAGCATCATCTCTTGAAAGCACTTTGAGAAGCATGAAATACAAGAAAACACTTTCCCTTTTATTATTCTTCCCTATGTACGTGCTGTCAGGCTGGCAGACGTTTTATCTGATACAGCCTCTACTAGCAACATACACTGCGTGTGTGGGCAATGGAGGCACTTGTTCAAATTTCTACTCCCAACCAGCTGCACTTTTTAGTTTCATGATGACAGCTTTAGAAATATTTCCTGTATCAATTGTTGCCAGTAACAATGAAACACCAAGTAAATTCAGTGAGCAAAGCTCCAAACTTTGTATTCCTCCTTTAGAGAGTTTGTTGAAGAATGATTTGTATTTGGACTCGTGTATCCATACAGTCACCAAGTTCTGCTGCAGCCTCTGAACTGCAGCTAAAAAAAGTCATGCCTGGCTCAATTGCAGTGCTTTTGGAAACACGCTGTGGCAAGACTAAAAATCTTGTCTTTTTAGAAGAGTCCTTTTCTATTTAATAACGCTTGTCAGTACAGCACAGGCATAAGGTCTATGTCAAACTAACGCGCTCTTTGCCTGTTCTTAAAAAAAAATCATGTTGATAAGGAAGACTCAAGGATGCAAGACAGTAGGTGGCAGACTGCACCGCTGCCCTGGCAGTAATTCTGGAGAGCTACAGTGACCTATTTGCCTGACACATAGGTGATGTGTAATGTTTATTATCATTATCATCCCATTCCATTAATCCCACCTCAAAAAAGAGTTTACGTCAGGGAATCTCAAACATTTCCAGTACACGAATCAAAGGTTTGTAGAGAGATTATCTAGTGGACTGCATCTTCTCCTATTCATAATTATAGAATGTTCCTGCAGTACTAAAGCAATTGCCATAAAGCAATATGTGAAATTAGGAAAGTATTCAGTGTATTTTTAGCTATTTTAATGCGATTTAACAGCTGGATAAAAGGAGAACAGCAAGCACTCCCAGTAATCCGTGGATCATAATTTGAAAATTGCTGGTTTAGTCTTTTAAAACCTGGAAGACACCCCATTATTGCAAAACATATTTTAAGCTTCAGCTGTAAAATCAGGGGTACTTTTTCAAGACCTAAAACAATAGCGAGAATTAGGGGATTCTCACGTAATCGCAGGCGATAAATTTGGAAAAGATATCGTGGCACATAATTCTATTCACAGCTATCTATTTTCTTACGTGTTCATCACTCTGTTAGGAATCTACTGGTAAACATTTTTGGCTCACAAAACAATAATGATTCCGCAGACCATTTCTTTTACAACCCCAGGCAAGACGGGCTCTTGTGTCATACGACACCTCATTTATAGAACCACTGAAAAGAGATTCAGCGTTACATGCGACTGGACAGATGTTGACTTGTACGTTTTAGGAACATTCCTATCAGCTAGCACAAACCAGAATTATCGTACTATTTAAATAAACAAGGCGTTGAAGAATAAGCAGGCCTGTTCATAAAAAAAGCGTCGTCGTCACCCCCTTTTCTCTTCTGAAAATTTTGGCCAAAAAAGCCCTACCCGTAACACAACAGGAAAGAGAAACAAGGACTTTGTGTAGATTTTAAACCTGTTGGGACCGTGTATTTATCATGATCTGCATTTGGCTCCAGTGGGAGCCAAACTCCTGACTTTAGATGGCAGCAAAATATGTCAAAATCTGATTAACTTCTGCTACATTACTTCAGTCTGTCGGATCGCTGTTGATTAAGAACAAGACCCAAACTAGTTCAAGTTCTCAGTGTGCAAGTATGTTCCTCATGGAACAGGCGTGCGCTGCCTGTGCTGCTGGAATACAGACGTAAAGCATTTTGTCTTACTTTGGTGGACATGGAGTGCGAGGCGCCTGCCTCTAAGAGAACCGATGCGACATCGACTTGTCCCTCTCTGGCAGAGATGTGCAGTGGAGTGTACCCATTAGTTGTTGCGGCATCAGGGTGGGCCATGTGCTGTAGCAGAAGTTGGACGATCTCCGTTTTACCCAAGCGAGAAGCGATGTGCAGTGGAGTCTGTTCTTCCTACAACTCAAATCGAGGAGATAATTAGCGCAGGTCGAACCACCCCGAAGGCAATATTCCGCTTGATCCCAATAGATCTAGCTGTGCGTTTGTCTCGCAAAAATCAGAGGTAGCACAAAAAAGAGGCAGTAACGGAGGGTTCGCGGGTTAATTTTAGCAATGGGCTTTGGCAATGCCTTATTAGATCAGAGAGAACTATGAAGAAAAACATTGTTTTTCTCCTTTTATCAAGCAGACAGCACACGTCACTGTGAGCATCACTTGCTCCCCTTTGTGTTTTTAATTTGTTTTACAACAACCTTGCTCTACAAACAGTCCCTTGGGTTTCAAAATCCAGCACTAACTGCTACCAGAACCTCTGACATTTGGTTTTAGTACATGGCTGTGCACCTCCTTGCTTGGACAGAATAGCTCTTGCTGGTCCGAGTCAGGCACGTTGTACTGGGTCTAGCCGGGATGGAGATAATTTTCATCACAGTAGCCCGTATGGTGCTCTGGTTTAGATTTTGGACCAAGACAGCGTCGATAACATACCGGTGTTTTAGCTGTCACCGAACAGTGCTTACAACAGTGCCAAGGCTTTCTCTGTTTCTCCCTCTGCCGCCCCAGGGAATAGGCTGGGGGTGGGCAAGAGGTTGGGAGGGGACACAGCCAGGACAGCTGGCCCAAACTGGCCAAAGAAATAATCCATACCATATAACGTCACGCTCAGCAATAAAACTAGGGGGTGAGTTTTTCCAAAGGAGAGCCCGTTGCTCGGAGACTGGCCGGGCATCGGTCTGCTTGTGGGAGGTGGTGAGTGATTGCCTTTGCATCACTTGTGGGGAGGAGGGGTTGGCTTTGTGGGTTCTTTTTTTTCCTTTCTCCTTCACCTATTAAACCATCTTTATCTTAACCCAAGAGATTTTCTCACTTTTGCCCTTCCAGTTCTCTCCCCCATCCTGCCGCGGGGGCAGGAAGCCAACGACTGAGCGGGGCTGAGCTGCCGGCCGGGGTCAGCCCACCACAATCATTCTCTTTGGAAGATCTACTCATAAACACATGACTGTTCTCAGAAGTGTTTTCAGGTGTGTTTAATATTGAATCAACAGATGAAATAAAAATGAAATTGCTCCTCCCTAGCTCCTCTGCTTCAGCTATGTTTTTGAGTAAGAGAAAGCAAAAAAAAACATTGTAAGCAGAACACCTACCCTGGCTCGGGCATCAACCAGGGCCCCGTTTCTCAGGAGGCAGCGAACCACTTCCACCTGCCCAGCACGTGCCGCCATGTGCAACGCAGTTTCTCCACGCTGCAGAAAAGCAAAAGCGTTTCAGCGTCTTAAACCTCCACGAAGAATCAGAGCCCCGACGGCATAACTTCCACCCGCGTCAACTCGCGCAGAGTCCCGCCAGCTGAGAATCTGGCTTCAGACCCAGTAACAGGCAGTTCAGAAGGGTGGGTGCCTACGTGTCGCTGGGCCTGGGTACGCTTTGGTTTGCAAACTCGACGATTCCAGACAAATGCAATCTCGCTACAGAGGGTCAGAATGAAAATCCTGGCTTATAGAAAATTCTACCGTATAGATTCCCCTGGTCACATATGTTCTTCCGCTTTCTACCTCACAGTGCATCAGCTTGCGTGCCGCGCAGGAGGTAAGAGTATATTGAGCCTGTCTCCCTCAAGGGATTGCGAGGCACATGAGCCTCAAGATGGAAGGGGATATTTTTCCAGATGGTCTCTTCCCGCACGCTCTGTGGAGCTGGCAGCAGTAAAAGGCCTTGCGATGGCTGTGCGCAACTGAGCCAGCATATGAAATGTGTAAAATCTGTGCTCAGCAGCGTAGCTCTGTCTGCAGGCTATGGAATGAATCTTGTTTCAAGCCTTTTGTAGCCCACGGAATTTGAAGGAGAATAGGAAATTTTGGAAAGCTGATCGGAGTGATGTGGAATTTCAGCTCAGGATAATGAAGTACGAATGATACATTCAAAGCATGCACTTTTTGCACAGGTTCGCAAAGGAACACCGAAAGCGAGTATTCCCTGACGATGGCATTTCTAGCTTGATTTTGCACTGTCCAACATTCTTTGAGTGCACTGTCCTAAAGTGGACTAAAACAGTCCCCGGGCAGTTCATCGGTCTCTGGTACATTTAGCTACCGGGACAGTTCCGCAACCAGGAGCTCTGTATTTATCCGTTATGTTACAGCAACACAACGGGACTGATCACCTCTTTGTGTTAATTGTTCCTTCGCCTTACTCTAGAGCTGGAGTATATTCTGTCGTAAGGCTTTTACCCCAGCGACTATCAAGTTAAACTGCAACTGCCAAAATGAACACTCTGGTCAAGATCTTTTGACTCAGAATCAGGAATCATGTTGTCCTGTCCTTCGTCTAGATGTAGGAAAAGCAGCAGCCTGAGCTTGCCTACTGTAATGAACTTCTAATTAAAGCAAACCATCTTCATCAGGAGTTGATTTATCTTGTCATTTTAAAATTAACATGGTGTTGCCAGCTGTGATGAGTAAGTAGGCAACAAACAAAATCCCACAGCCCTAGCTACAAAATAATAGAGAATTTCATCTAGATAAACTTTATTACCTGAAGAATGGGTTGTTTAAAATGTGAATAAAGTTCACATTTCACACACTCGCAAGATCAATTTCTATAAAGACCCTTTTGTACTCGAATTAGCAAAGCAATTTAGCTTTTGGAAACAGTAATTCAACAGGGAACTTCAGCTTACCAAGTAAAGCCAAGACGCCTGTGTAGCATAAACTGTAAAGTGTTAAACTTTGCACACAAATGCCCAGTAACACAATATTTTTAATGGCTTCCACAAGTTTTTCTTGTTGGCTTGCATATCATCAATGAAGTTTTTATATAAAGATTGCTTCTACATAAAAGTATGAATGCAGTAAGACACTTTGTCAAGAAAAGTCTGTTCTAACGATTCAAGCAAACTACTCGGTGCGCTCAACGTTTTTACTAGGTTCCACGTAAGATTTTTCTAACCGAGAAAAACCGATGAGTCCAGTGTACCTGGATTACTAAATTCTTGTTGTTGGTTTGTTGTTGGGAACACTTACCTTTACCTACAGGTAAAAAGCTGCTTTCAAAGTGCAGGTGGTCGTAAGTGGAGTATTTGTTTATACCGACAAATTCAAACACTAAGATATCTACAAAATACAGCTCAGAAAACTATCGTGCTCTTTTCATTGTTATTCTTCTTGGTAACTAGGCTATTGGTATACAAACACTGATTTCTACGGTGAGTCAGGTTCTGCATTTTGTGTTACCTCCCAAAGGTCACATTTTCTAGATTTAAGCACGTTCTTTCGAAAGGCACCAGGTTCCTGGGATTTCCTATATAAGAGGAACATCTTGAGTTTTAACATTTTTACTTTTTGGTTAATTGTTAGGTTTTAAGAATTTTACACCCTTTCACTGACACAAATGACACAACTTCACGGCAGACAGTGAAGATGCGCAAGCAGAAATTAGAGCCATTTGGACTTAAATTCCACCCTTCAGAATGGAAACACAGTCTTCCCCGTGACTTGGCTTGTAATCAGTTTTGGAGGTATTTGGTGAGCTTTGTCTGTTCCTCAGGGAAACTTTACCTACTCAAGCATTGTTGAGGAACACGTGAAACCACAGATGGCTCATAACGCATATACCATCACCATTTTCCCCTCTTCTCTAAAGGTGCTAGAATAATTTGTCCTAAAATGCACTGAAGTCATAGAGCGTCATTAAAATGTGACCTTTGGTTGAGCTACGTGGCAGGGCAGACCCTTTTCGGAGGAGGTTTCACACACACGATTCTAGTCCAAGCCATACTCACAATGTTAGTGACATCGGGAGAGGCTCCGTTCTGCAGCAGAAGGAGGACTATGTTCAAGTGGCCCATAAATGCAGCCACGTGTATTGGTGTGAGGCCCGACTGCGAAACAAAGCAAGAGCAGTTTTACTCCTCTGCACGCGCGTAGGGAAGGGGCTGCTTCGTTTAAATGAAACATAAGTGAAAGCGAGGCATGATAGGAGAGAGGAAAAAAGGGAGGGAGAGAGAGAAGGAATGTTTCTTCAGGACACGAAACATTTTTCTACCTCTGTTATAGCCTGGATTGAAGCCCCATATTTCACCAGGAGTTCCATGACTTTGATGCGATTTTTCTTGCAGGCAATGTGCAGTGGAGTAAAACCATTCTGTGCAAAAGACAGTCATGTTAGTTAAAAACATGCAGCTACACTTTCCACACAGCTCCATGCCGGCACGCTGGGGGCACAAGTGTTAGAGTACCAGAAGCAACTGTTCTTTAAGCACAATTTAAGCAAAACTGTTCTTTAAGGTTACGAATTACAGACATCTCCCAGTAGTCTGAGGCAGAACAAAGCAGCGCCGCTGCTTTCTTCTCAGGCAATGGCGAGAAACTGAACTTCCACCCCCAAAACCCAAATACAGACGTGCCCGTTCTGACTTCCAAGCGTACGCGTGCGCGCACGTACGCATGCGCTTCCGAAGGCTGCACGCGTGTATATGTAAGGATGACTTACAGTGGTTCCCAAGATTGCCTAACGCAAGGAAAATATTAGAAATGATAGCGCTCACTTTGAAATCAGTTAGTGGCTTTTGAAATGTATAAAGCATATGCTATACCTCTCTAGGAAAAGGAGTACTTCTTCCAGATTCCACCTTATTTTATTTGTCTTTTTAGAATATCCTGGAATCTAAGCATCTATGTGTATTTATTTTTATATTTATGCATTGATCTACCGTATCCTGTATTCATGTTTGCGCGTGTGCACGCGTTCTGTGAGGCATCTTAAAGAAATAATCGCCACTTCAGCCGTGGTTTCACGATACAGAGTGTTCACTCTCGAAGTACTTTGCAGCCCTCCTTCCTTTATTCCTGCTCCGCTGAGCCATAAAGCATAGTAAGCAAGGTACCAGCCCTCAGCTGGATGAAAATTAAATGGGGCAGCGACAGGAACGAAAGGGTGGTGGGGAAGGGAACATCTTAAGACTGCAACCTAGCATTTCGTATTGCATGACAGCGGTTTTAGCGTTGTGCTTACCATCAGCACGTACTCCTTTCTTTGGAAATGCTTATTCAATAAGATTGGGGCCCAAATCAAAGCACGTCTTCATACTCTATACTGTAACACATGCTTTGACTTCAAGCTTTTTTTATGTACTATTATAGTTAATGCAGGTTAAGTGTGTGCCTAAAGCTAAGCAAACACATTATTCACCATATATGAACATTTTAGTGAAAAGCACAGGTAACGTTTTTAGATAATGTTGAAGGATTGCTGAATTTTCTAATGAAAAGGGTCAGTGTTGCTAAACAATCAGCTAGCAGGAAACAGAACTTATCAGTGAAATCTTAGCTGGTGGAAAGAGGCACGTGACAGATTATTCTACAGTCAGCTTCTGTTAAGGGACATGTTAATTTCTGGTGGATTTGAAGGTGCTTTAAAGCATATACAAATTGAAAAAGCTAAAAACTCACATAGTGCTTGTATCCCCAAATCATTTTGCAAACATCAACAATTTTTTTTTCTAAATCTAGCTGAAAATGAATTATTTGTAAAATTTATTCTATCCCAGGACTCTGCTAAATATTATTATTACTATTAGCCTTCTCCAGTTTCTACAGAAGGAATGAAACGCATTAGATATTTTACCTCCCGCACAACATCTCTCAAAATATTTCATAGGGAGTTTTACTGTTTCACAAGTTTCCGTATTTTCACTTAATTTTACTGCCTGAGTTGATTTAATTTTGCTACTTCTACTTAAGTGAGGAACAGTTTGATGGGGGAGAGGAGGAGGAGGAGGCAGAAAAAAACCATATCACTAAAAGAAATTACGAGCCTCGTTTAATATATTAAATACTATAAATGAGCTGGAGGCAACAAGTCCCTGATGGGAGAGGAAAAAAGAGAGAGGGGGGAAAAAAAAAAAACAAACGTCTGGAGGGAAGAGAGCAGAGAGGCAGCGGCCTGAGGGCGTTCTCCTTTCATTTCAGATCTTTCTCTGGGAGGCAGGGAGGAACAGAAGGTGTATTTCTGGTCATGGAAGGAAAGAAAGAAGATATGAGGGCTAGCATACAACGTGTATGTGTGAGCAGCTGAGGAACGTACAGCTAAAGATAATCAGAAGACTGGCAAGAAAAATAAGAAAGGATGCAAACAGCGTCGAAAAAGATCAACCAAGTGAACGTGATACCAAGAAAGACAAAACAAGAAAAGCGTACCACGAGGAAGCAAGGGGGTTATGGGATAGAGAGGCTGAGAAAAATGAGAGGGCCGAAGAAAATTCCGTGAATAAAAAGTCAGTTCCAAGGAAGTAAGGGACAGGGGCAGCCTTCGCAGAAAAACACAGGGTCATACTGAAGGCAAGAAGCTGGGGAAGACATCAGTGGCCTGTGGTGGAAGTTCTGTGGAGGCACTGAACGCAGCAGGCAACGGCACACTTCTTGCCACGCAGAAGTATCTCAAGTGTCCACAGCCTCTTTCCTTCCCGTAGCGTATCGGCATTTTAACTTCCATCCAGCTAACAGTTCATGGGGACACTTCCTATCAGAGCAAATTGGAATCTTGTCTGGGTTTGGATAGATTAAAGACTCTTCAAAGCTCTTATATGTTCCCCAAGCCAAATGTGGGGTTTTTCTCTCAGTTAGGGGATACTGGCCTGATCGGTGAGTGAAAGGAATCATACCTGTTTTCCTGTAAGCGTCAGAAGAACTGGTTTTTGAAACGGAAGAAAAGTGGCACCTAATAGAGGGGAGTGTCATAATTTGATAAACGCAGAAATATTAGCTTTCTAATGTATTTTCTTCATGCCAACTAACTTACTGGTTCAGCTGAAAGCTGCGAAATTATTTGTGTATCATACCACATGGTATGGAAAACTGCGCTATTAATTCAGTAAAATACCAATGCGTATGTTAACATCAGCTGGGAATGGCTCTGATTTTAGGAACTCGGTAGAGCCTCCAGACCTGCTACTACGGCCACTTGCCATGGGACGTGGTCCATGACTAGGCCTTGTGAGATGAGATACAATACCGGTAACCAGGAGGAGCGACAAAACCTCTTGTTACTACAGCTATTTAAGGCTGTTGGGTGTTTGTCGACAGAGTTTTCACTTAGCTTTACTGGTCAGAGCTACTCATCTGCCCCGGCTAGCTTTGTTATACGACACAGGGGGGACAGGTTTACCAGGGCACGAGCATTGGGATTTGCTCTCTTGTCCAGGAGGAGTTTGGTGACACGATAGTGGCCGCAGTGCGCGGCCACGTGGAGGGCGGTCAGGTAATCCAGCGTGACATCGTCCACGGGAGCTTTGTGCTGCAGAAGGTGTTTGACGCATTCCACGTGGTCCCCCTGGGCCGCCATGTGAAGCGGAGAGAGTCCGTTCTGCGGCAAAAGAAAACAGAGCAGTGTAACTTCTAGTAACTCTCACTTACATCGTGGCACGTATTAGAAGGATGCCGTCGGGAGTTTGCAGAGTAACCCCATCACTGAAACAGAGCCACATCTGAGCTACGGACTGGAAGAAAAACCAAAAAAAAAAAGCTGTAGCCACCCCTCCCCTTCCTGCAAATACAGGCAAATTTAGAGGAACATCATATAATTAACTAAAACCAGAATTTAATCAAAGCAAAAGAATCTAAGGGTCTTGCCTCATGATTTAATAACACATATCTTGACCTTAAAAGACAGTTCTGGGGATACTCATTGTGACACTAAGACATAGGTTCTATGTTAATTAGAGGAAAAGCACCTACTTACCCATCATCGTATTTATTAAGGAACCTATATTTTTTTCTTTAAGTGTTCAATGAAAAAACAAATTATATTGGCAACCCTGACCCCTGAGCTTCTGGGAAATGGTACTTTCAACCACCACCATGGCTGGACCTTTTGTTCAAACCGTAACACTTCAAGGGCTGTGGAAGCAGGAGTTTTATAGCCCTGTCTGCCTTTAGTAGATCTTTTTGTAAATATTGAAGTCCATGGAAGGTAGACAATTAAGAGGAAAGAGAATCGTTGCTATAACTGTGTATAGCAAGTTGTTTTCAGAAAAAAAATAGTTTTAATATTTACATATTTATCTGTCTCCCGTTTGGAACCACCTTTTCCAGTTGGGAGTTAGATTTAAAAGCAACGTCCTCTTCTAATTTCATTTTACATGCAATAAAGTACTTAAAAAGCACTCCGTGTTTAAAGACAGACTATAACATATAAACTTGAACAGGAACTGACTTGGTGTGGTCAGGCTGACTGTTTATTTGTCACCTGGAAGGAGGGAATTATTCACTGGACACTTCTGCTCTGCTCAATTCTCAACACAGTGGAGACGTCCAGATGCGGCCACAGCAATGCCGATCTTTTGTCCCGACTGGCAACATCTGCCTTCGAATGGCAACATCTGGGAATCCTGCCTGAAGCGCGCACAATACACGTGGCAGGGTCTGTTCTTCTGAGCCTCTCTACCTCCTAGTGAAGCGAGGGCGTTGACACGAGGTTCACCTAACCACCTTCTCCCACCAAAGGAATCAGTGAAACTATAAGGAATCTTTTCCCTACAGGATCCCTCCTGCGTAAACAGACGACCTGGACTACCTGGTGCTATCAAGGATGCATAGCTTGAGCACATCCTTATTTGACGTAGTTGATACGCTTGCAACCTAGCGATAAAACCTCCCGAAGACTATCAAGAGAAAATCTTGAGTCTCCAATGGGGATAACTATGGGTCAGAATACACTGATTGCCCTTGTTTTGAGCCATGTTTGAGGGAGTGGGGCCCAATGAACAGTGCAATGGTCTGAAACTGGTGTTTACATTGTTTCTCCCTCCCCATCTTCCAGGGGACCTCAAGCGTATCATTGCAATACTCCATTCCACTGTTTCCCACCTAATGATACCAGCTGGCTTTGTCAGGCACTCTGAAATTTACTGATGCGAACTGCTGCTCGGTGGGGTTTGCTATTACGCTACAAGTAGCCTTCTCTCATTAGTTTGACCAAAGGGACAGCACTTGTAGGAAATGCATTAATCTCAGATGTGCGCTTTTCAGAAATCAGTAAGAACGCACCGAAATCATTTTCCAAGTCTGAAACAGCCCATGAAAACAATTAGGAGAAGCTGCAAGTCACAGGTCCTAGTTAGCTTATATGATGGATCGGAAAATATATACCAGGAATCACCTCTCAGGAGTGACCAACCCAGCTTTCCCATCTCTGCGTCCTACGGTCTTAGGAAGCAACTAAAGTGAAGTGCTTGCAGTAGGACAGTATATTATGTGATTAGTCTGGTACTATAGAGTGGCGGCAAAGAAGTGTATACTGTTTCATATATTTGGAAAGGATAGTCCCTAATTATGTAAGAAAACCTTATTTTGGATCATTCTACCCACTAGTACATTTCCTCTGGGAGAACAGAAATGTTCCCGTCTTCTTCCTCGTCCTTTCAGTGACATTGAAAATTCTGTGCAAAGTTACAGAGAGCTGTTAACGTATTCTAATATGACACACACCTTGGTCCGTGCAAGCAGTGGGGCACCTCGTTCCAGCAGCAGCTCCACAACTTGGTCATGTCCACTTCTTGCAGCACAGTGGAGTGGGGTGAGTCCATCCTTAAAAGAAAAGGAGGCAAAACAAATCAGCACATCCCCAACTGCCCATCCCGGCACTCCGAGGAACACTCATCCAGGAATTCAGCCCCACAAGCGTGTGAAAAAGCTCTTTTTTTTTTTTTTTTTTATTGATTCCTAACTGAAGCTGGCTCCACAACATGAAGTTTCATCCCTATTCTTGCTTGCACCAGTAAAGGACGCTCTAAGGTTTTGGAGAGGAAGCCCATTGTGTGTTGAAATCTCTTATCAAAATGTGAGCGTGCATTGCCTCCTCCCCTCCTTCTCCTCTGCACGGCTTTGAGATTGTATTGCCTCTCCCCGGAGAATGTCTGCTGGGCCAAGGATGCTCTATTAATCGACCCTTGTCCTTTGGCTTGCTTTTGATGTGGGGGTGAAACAAGAAACGTTCATACTAGAAAATCTACTCTACAATTTGGTTTTTTTTAGACAGGCAGCAGAAGAAATATTTTAAAAAAGAGAAACAGATAAACAGACCAAAACCTTTCACTTCTAAGATTGAGTGGTGAACAAAGAGCTAACAATTCTTTGCTAAAATTGCTGCGAGATCCCAACCTCCACAATATTTTTTCTACTGCAGAACACCACCCTATACCAAAAGACTTGCTCAGGCTACTCAGTAATGATCACAGCAGTGGTAGCAAAAGACGTGTCAATGAAACATTTAGATGGGAGAATGCATTCTAGGTAGTTCTGCTACAGTTTGGACATTATGCAGAAAAAAACCAGGCAATATGAGGCAAGAAAAATGGTTGCAAAAGAATATTAGTGCTGAACGACAGAAAAAAGAAAATGCATATGATATAGAAACCCAAGTTTTCATCTCATTAGACCTCAATGCCGTTCAAGCATGCACTCAGAGAAGTCATCAATACTCATTCAACAGAGATAGGTTTATCAAGGTGAAATGGTAATAGTTTTTAATCACAAGAAAAGCCTTCTCCCTTTGAGACACGCCACTCTTCTTAGATGCGGTAGATGCTATTATTCTAGGGTGCTTTCTGAAGAATCCAGTAACAGCATGATTAAAAGATTAATATACTGGTCCGAGATAGATTTATTACTTAGAGGTTAAAAAGGTAGCAAAAACGCAAAAACATGGCCTTAAGTATGAGTTAGTGACCCCGCTACATACAGAGATATATTGTTTGCCTTGCTGGAGTTTGGAGGAAGTCTACATCGCTATATTTTTACTTCTACCGCTAACATTTTTAAATTAAAAGTAGCTCTAGACTGCACAGCGCCGTTGCAATTGCAGCATCATTTTGGCTTATGCAAAGATAGCCCCGTAACAGTCTACAAAAGGTAGTTCCAAGAAGTAGGTCCTCCCTCACCCTCGGTTTCGAAAGCACAGGGCACCTTTCTGAGTCAGCAGCGCGGAACTGAAGTCTGCAGGGAGAAATTCTTCTCCCTTACTTACCTACTGTTTCCAGAGATTTTTCAGAAACATGTGAAGGGGTTAGGCGTGCCTTGACACTCACTATCTCAGAGGCAGAGGCATCACCAAACCCCACGGAAGCTTTGCAATGAAATTCAACAGATGCAGGATCAAACCCACGAACAGAATTCAAGGCTGCTCAGCACCCGACAGATTGGGTCAATGGGAAGGAATTGGGTGTAACTAGCTTATCTGTCTTTTTTTTTCTGCGCTGAAACTTCCGAGTCCCCTAAATCAAGCCTTTATATGCACAACTGAGGTATATTTTCATCTTGCTGCCAGAGGGATTCATACACATAACTCCCATTAGCATTACTAAGTGAGAATATACCCCAAACGTATTTCTAGGAAAGGCATTTATTTGGTATTTCTTGCTGCTTTCTGGCTTTTCGTGCTCTACATTTTTAATCAATGTGGGAGATTAACTTTGCCTATCTGCATAGTGACTTTGATGTTATTCTACTTAATAGAATAGCAAAAGAAAGGTAGAATTGTGCGAACCCTTGAAAAAACACAGGACAAATCCCCAGAGGGAGAAAAAATGAAGAAAAACACAAGCCAAGAAACATATCAGCTCCACAAGAAAGTCTGGCTGAATAAAAAATAAGAACTAAATCATTAAAGAGCATGATTTCTCCTCTGTTCTTATCTATAATCCCCTCTAAAAGTAGAGATAAAAATTTGCTACCTCTCCTATTCGATCCTGTCATAGCTTTTATAAATGCATCAGCATTTACTATCTGTACACTTCCCAGTAGGAGAATGAAGCAATATGCTTTGCAGCCTTCCCATATAACCCTCTTCTCTTCCCTCTTTCTGCCCTGGCGAAGACATCATGTATATTTTGAAACTATTCTATATTTAGTACTTTAGATTCTGGTTTTGCTTCCATGTTTTCTTCAAAGATGAGGGAACTTGCAAAGAGAGAGCTGTTGTAGTAGAAGAATTGGTATGTAATACAACGAGGACAAACTGACATTAGCCAACGTCAGGAGACACAGTGGGGCACCAAATGAGTCCTCTTTTGCACCATTTTCTATTTGCAATGAACCTCAGTGCTCTGAAATCTGTTGGGGGAGTTTGCCTATATACTTTTTTAATCATTCCGTTGCTAATCGGGACACCGTGTAAACTGAAGAACACATGCTGGCCAAAATATCAAACACATCATCTGACGGGACGTACAACACTGGGTCAAAGAGACACGGACTTTGAAGCACGGTAAACACCAAGGCCGCCATGCCGGGAGACAGGAAATTCAGCAATTTTATATTTTAAGAAATGCAATATTTACCTCCTCTCCCAAATAGTACCTAAGGGAGACTTAAATGTCTTCCAGGTGACATCCTGCACCTGGCGTTCTGCTGTTCCCATGTGCGGTACTCTCCTAGCTCACGCTTTGCAACGCAACCAATAGCTGGGTCGCTGTTAGAAATGACACTACAATCCTCTCTGTGTGTATGGAAGCCATGAAACACCATTGCTCCTAATTTGCTCTTAAATGGCTCTCAAAATAGAAGGTAAACTTTTGCCTTTTTTTCTTGGGGGAAAAAAAAAAAAAAAATCAGTCGCTGTTCATTTTTTAACCTGCAAAATTAATTCTGAATTCCGCGTGTGACTCCCAACCGCAGGGCTCAGGAAGAGAAATTTTTGGGTCATTTCACAGTGATTCAAATGCTTTACTTCAGCTTACCAGAGAGACCGAGATAAAAAGAAGCTGTGCTTGTGAGAGATTGTAACGGGAAACAATCCGGGCAGCATCTTATAGAATCATAGAATCATCGAATCGTTTAGGTTGGAAAAGACCTTTAAGATCATCCAGTCCAACCATTAACCTACACTACCAAGTCTACTCTAAGCCAGTCAAGGGTAGACTAGACTGAACCGTGTCCCAGAGTGTCACATCTGCCCGTTTCTTGAACACTTCCAGGGATGGGGACTCCACCACCTCTCTGGGCAGCCTGGTCCAATGCTTGACCACCCTTTCCATAAAGAAATTTTTCCTAATTTCCAACCTAAACCTCCCCTGGAGCAGCTTGAGCCCATTTCCTCTCGTCCTATCGCTAACTACATGGGAGAAGAGACCAACACCCCCTCCCTGCCCCCTCCTGTCAGGCAGCTGTAGAGAGCGATGAGGTCTCCCCTCAGCCTCCTCTTCTCCAGGCTGAACAATCCCAGTTCCCTCAGCCGCTCCCCACCAGCCCTGTGCTCCAGACCCTTTCCCAGGTTTGTTGCCCTTTTCTGAACACGCTCCAGCACCTCAATGTCTTTCTTGTATTGAGGGGCCCAAATCTTAACAGAAGGACAGTTGCGCACATTCAGCGCTCATTCGAAAGAAGACTGGTGCTAGCTCATGAACATCAAAGGCCAAATTGTCCAAGAATTCTTCTAAACTGCAGCTGCATATTCTCATTTTTATAAGGCTGAAATAAAATTCTAGTATTCTGTATGTTAGACCTGCAGAATTGTCTAAATTTTCTCGACAAATAAAGGCCTTCTCATTTGTTCATTTTTCATTACTACTAAACCTCATCTCTTTAAAAATGAACAAGGCAAGCCTCCCTCTTGCTCTAAGCTCGCAGAGTCTTGGCATAATTAGACACGCTCTGAAGTAGTCCTCCAGGCCTGCCATTCAAATTACAAATTTTAAAAATACAGCAAAAAAATGTGCCAAGCATCTGCTGGAGTAATAAGACATTAACTTAAACAATTCTAAGTAATATTCACTATCTATATAGCTTGCTTAGATAATCTGTACATCATCCCTTCCCGCTCCCTTGTAAACATTATCTGAATCCACTACATTTTTTATAGCAAATATCTTTGCTGTGATTAGGTATTTATAATCTGACGGTGCTTTAGGAACGGCAGAAACTACCAATGAATTATTAGTGCTCTGTGCATGTGTGAAGACTAGGAGAAAATGTCACAGCAGCGTTACTGCAGGAAAAAAAAAAACCCGCAAACACAGCACAGTGCCAAGACCAGGTTAGGATTCTGCTGCAACGGCTTTGTGGTAGGAAACCCACTACCATGTGGAAATAGCAGAGAGCCGTGCCTGTTTTTTCAGGATGCATATATGCAAAAGGAGATGTTATTAGAAATAAAGCTCAATAGGTTCCCAGAATAAGTGTTACGGAGTGTCTGAAGCACATTCGCCACAAAAAAACCCAACCCAAACACACACACACACAAAAAAAAAAAAAAACAAAAAAAACCAACACTC